TGTCGATGCGAGGAGGGAGCAATGCTGGGACTTAGACGGGAAAAACACATGATCAGTGCTAATAGATTTCTGGTCAGGTAATAGAGTAATTCATTGTGACGCTACTAACATGTATGCATGCTCCGGCGACAGCCCAGAACAGCTCCACAAGAATAAAAAATGACAGCTAGTTGTGCCTGGTGGTGTTGACACAGAGCTCGAATTTCTGATAACTGGGGCCAGTGTGCAACTAAGTACATTACTGACAAACGATATACGCTGAAAGAGCCGGTCAGTAAAAATCCGAAAAGACATGCTCTAGTCAGCCGTAGCTCCTGTAGGTAGATTAGCTGCAACTTCTTCTACATAGCTACATTGTGAACTAAGACCTTTTTTGACTCGATATCTCGGATGGCAAGAAGAAGCAGTGATAGTGCGAACGGCCGAAAAGAAGCAACCGTAACCGAGCACTCCTCCTAAAGGTAACAGTGTAGCTGAGATCATCTAGGATTACTTAGATGCCGAAGGATCAAAAATGCGGCTCATTTAAACGTCGCCATAACGACCAGGTACTATGTGTGCTCCTAGACTGAAAGACGTAGTGTCTGATCATCTGCAAGCAATAGTTATCTGACTGTCCATTACTTCCTGTTGGTCCAGGCGCATATGGTCAAGCACTCAGGTAAGAGGGCCAAAGTATACCTCTCGAACCCGACCAACAACCAGACCACCTGATCGAACATCAAACAGAGACGAACTGCTTTCAGGATTCTACACAAAATGTCACAACAGAGACTTCAAATGAGAGCTCGACTGGTCGCTACCGTTGCGGTATGAATGAAATCAAGAAGCATTTCAGCTGCCGCAAACATACGTCAAACGGGGGATTGGAGCACACAAATTTAGCGTTCGAGCGCCAAAAGCCCAGGAATATGGAATCAAGAGAAATGATAAGGAAAGCGTTCCGTCTGAAAAGACACGGTATTCCTCATTGTAAACGATGGTAGTGACATCAACTCCGGTTATCTCACAGACTGCCGGCTTCCTATGATTAGTGGTGTGACCATCTGGAAAAATATACCCATGGTTCTCGCATCTTTCATTTCTTGACTCGCCGGAGACCGCCAGTTTCAGTGGTCAACTGTTAGTAGCGGTGTTAGCGCGCGTCCAACAGGTTATTTAACCGTGCTGTCCCTGGCACCAACATTGTCCGGGACCGCGATAATTGATATTGACACAATCAAGAGACCCCGTGTCATGCACAACATAGGAAATCCTATTTCAAAGGGAACAGATCTGAGTTAAAAGATGTGTCATAAACCGTAGGAGATTGTGGCAGGCTCATTTAACGTTGTTGAAGTCACTTAACGGCTGCTAGACGATGGGATCGCTTGCCGCGCTCCCTGAGAACAGGGTAAGATTACAGACACGTGCTCTAGAACAAAGGCTATTTGAGAATAGAATTTAGTCATCCAAAGTCTAGCAAAGTGAACTACGTGAGGCAATCAGTGACCAGCCGCCGGAGGAAAGCCAGGTCTCACACTTCAGCCTACAATGAAACTAGGAATAGATGCAGTTCGGGATTGTGACCGAGGAGAAGAGTTGCACAAGATCGGTCCCATGATTACTTATAAAAGTCAACATGCGGTTCTCTTTCACGTAAGACGACGAAATTGCGCCAGTAAGCCGCGAGTTTTCGAAGCTATACACTTTATTTGACAGGGGCTACTCGACTTGAAGTGGGAGGTTGAAAAAGTAAAGAGTAACATTTGCGCCCCTCCCCCATCACCAGAGACAACACACATATCCTACACCAATCCAGCTGAGTAGAAAGCGTGTTCCTATTTCTCGTCAGTGAGTTCTGGGTTAACAAGATCATCGACCTCTCAAGTTGTTATACAGAACAGACTGAAATGGAGCGTATTTGCACCGTAATCATTGTGGTCTGTTCTAAAAGGCATTTGGATAGTACCTCATATCGTAGCACCGTGAATCAGGGGAAGTATAACGTCGTACCTCGTTAAGAACCAGTTTCGCCATGAGGGGATTCGTCCTACAAGGCAATGGAGACACCCGAGTGATCATTCCTGAAGTGTCAGTTGACGACTGAAAAAGTCTCTCTGACAAAGCAAAGAACCTAAATATGATTTTTTGCCAATGGTCACGTTTCTCGCACCCCTAGAGACCGCCTGTGTTGGTAGAAGACCGATGGAAACACCAGAATGGCATCTGCTACCTAACCGTAGGAGTGTGCAATGACTCACCCTCTACCTTAGGCTTTCACAACGTTCGCCACACTACCAAGACTGTTTGATAATAAGCCTTTACATTATATAGAGTGCCGATTTCCAGTAAAAAACAGCACTTCATAGAACAGTACCAGGCGAATTCGCGAGCTCCGAGAACCACGGGGTGTAAACAAGATTACTTCGATGTGGAGCTGGAAAGAGCACGGAATCAGTATGACAGAAAAGAAAATAGTTCCGAAACCCAGTAAATACACAAAACCAGTAAAGTGTAGAACACAGGAATATGAAGAGCACTAGAACGGAGATTACCGATCCTACAAGGCTAAGAGAACCTGAGTTATCAGCTTCTTTTTGGGGATCTAATTGTACTTTTCCCTGAGTCGTCCCCCTCACGCCCAGAAATCAAACGTGAGATCAAACTTTTAACAGTGATTAAGGCCGCAGAAGCAAACGGACTTCCTCTAGCTCTCTTCGAATTCGGAAGACCTGCTATTATAGATGAACTGTACAACTTACTGGTAAAACCGTGGGAGCAGGAGATTTTTGCAAAAGACTGCATTTGCTCTGTTATAGTCCCAATTATCAAGAGGCGCGCGTTCGAAATGCGGCAATCATAGAGAAATCAGTCTGATCCCAATTGCCACAAATTTTTAGTGTCTGTCGTTCTCCACAGATTGTTTGATAACTGTGAAAGCTAAATTCGTGAGGAAAGAGCCGGGTTCCGTCTAAATCGGGGCTGCTTTGACTACATATTCACCTAAGGCCAATTGTTGGAACAACGCTATACTTAGTAGCGACCCACTATATTCATGCTTCTCGATATCAAAGATGCGTGTGATTATGCTGATCGGTGTACTCTTTGGGACCGTTTGGTTAGGAAAGGCGCGCCCGATAAATATGTCGACGTTATCCGAGGGCTGTATGCGCATGGTCCGGGCAGAGCGAAGGTTTATGGCAAACTGTCGCCGCCCTTTAATATCACCAGCAGTGTGAGACGACGATGCCCGCTGTCACCTTTTCTTCTAGACATTCCTATTGACGAAGTTACGGAAACGGTGTTCGCTGGACACGACCTACAAGGTGTGGAGCGGCTTTCTGATGAGCGACTTCCTGACATGAAGTACGCCGACAACATAGCCCTCATCTGTGACAGCTCCCAAATGTGCCAAGCAGCACTGGACGGATCAGCACTGAAAGTCAGTCGTCTCAAACTATGCTTCGTATCCTAGAAATGCAAAGCCTTCCTCCACGATCGGAAGGGACCAACCCCTGCACTTACCCGCGGTGGGGATCAGCTAAAAGACGTCCAGAAATTATATTATGTAGGCAGCTATATCAGCGCCAGTGGAATGGAAGATAAAAGCACGAACCGTATAACAAAAGCTCAAAGCTCCACCTGTGGCGTTGGTGCGACATCACTCTCGCCTTGAAGGGAGTTTACAACGCAGCCGTATGTTAAACCATCCTGCACGATTGTGACGCCTGGCTCATCAACCCGACAAACATAAAGAGGCTGGTTATGTTCGATTGTCACTGCCTTCGCAGTGACACTGAGTGAACAATGAAGATGTTCAACGTCATTCGTTTAGTGCAGGAAGAGTGAGAGAACCGCTCCGCACCATTATAGCACGCAGCAAGCTCTGATGGCTAGGATACGTGCTGCGGATGCCAGCACATCGACTCCACAACGTATGTTTACGCGACCGGGGGTGTAGGTGGAAGAAGAGAAACGGAGGCCAAGGGATGACTTGGTCAAGAGGAATAAAAACCCTCACTTCGAGGTTCGCATCGATTGATGTCTCTCGATTGCCAGGCTGGAGCCCAAAGGATTATGAACGCGTCTGGCCGGATACATTTGTTGACATGACAAATAGCCGACCTCAGTGGCGTTTGTGTTGTGGGTCTTTGTCCCTCCCCTGCACTTTAGCTTCCCTTCTAACATGGATCTCATGCCCAATGGATAACGTAATATGTAGCATTATATTAATTTTTTCTAGTTTTTGTAGTCTGTAATGTTTAATATCCTTTTTGTAATGCGACAAGTTAGCTGCTGTGTGTTTCTCACCCGCAGCTAACGTGCATTGATGGAGAGGATGATGGCGACAAGGCTGAAGGATTACTCACATGTATGTGGGGAGCAAGTAGATGTCGTACAAAAATCAATGGAAACTGAAGTTGCGCCTAGGAACATGGTGACAACACACCATTAAAAGTGGGAAACCTAAACTGTGTCTCATCGAATGCTCATGCATACATTTGTTAGTCCGAAATAATAAAACAGCGAAGTAGTCTGCCCAGCACATATTTGGTCAGTAGACACATGTGCAGAGTTCACTTGTTTCCAAGCAGTTGTCTTAGTATCCTGCTTCAATTGCATAGCACACTCAAAAATGTCACGGAGTCGGTAGAGGTTATAAACATGAAAACTACAAAAAATGCTTTTTAAGGAACGATCATGCACTAAACATTGCACAAGCGAATGTTAGGCAGCTATTGTACCCTCACACCTTAGATCCGCACTCATGAATACATTTAGTAAGATTCTGAACAATTCATAGACGTGATAAACAAGAACGTGGTCATGCGAGACGGATGTTTAGTAGTGTACGACAATATTGTAGGCGGGTTCCAAACGACAACTATCCGTTTCTGATAGTCCCAATGACCGAGATTCATTGGGACGCTAATCGCTGTCTAGATTGAGATTCCGTGTACCAATTCATCCACACAGTGGGTGCTTTGGGATGAATGCAAAATAATGGTGGGACTTACAATCAAGGCTTGCTTGGCTTCTCGCTTTTTCAATATGGTGCTGATTGCCTGAGCACGATGAAGACGATCCTGAAGTTCAACGTAAACGTTACGTCTCTCTTCCAAAAGAGAAACATCAGTGCTGCAAGTAAGTGTGTCCAGTTTGGAACTGAGAGATGCGCGGAGTTCGGAGGCCTCCGATTTATCTTCAGCGAAGAAAATATGTGTCGGCTGAGTGCTCTTGGTGCGTGAAATAGGGTCCCCATATGCCAAGCTGGTAGTGGCCTCCAACCGACGAATTTTCGCGAGTTCTTTTTGTAGCTCAAAACGTAGCTGAACTATACTCATCGAGAGTGTCGACTTCAAAAAAACTTCAGAATACTTTGTCTCGCTGTTCAATGGTATATGGCCCCGTTCCGCCTCAGAGGGAAAAGGTGATAAGATAGCAGCTTACATCAAATTTAGAATTGCACATATTAAAATAAAATTCGTCGGTGTTTTTGGTTAGCGCCTGTCTTCGGAGTTCTTTCAGTTTCTGCTGTTTTTTCTCTTTGTCCCTAGGACAAATAAGATCATAAATTAAGCAAACCTTGCTCTTATCACAAAATCCTTCTTTTTTGGAAGGTATCCAAGATGCCGTCGATTTTCGGGCTAAAAACTCGAGATGGTAGATAGTACAAACCTGGGAGCGTTCCTTATGTGTTTTTGAATATCTCTTCTGAGCATTCTTGAAAGAAGCGAAGGGCATGTTGGAGAGGACTAGAGTCGCGGTATGCGGTGATCCGAGTGAGAGAAGAAATGAGTTCAGTTGGCTGAAAATACCGTTATACGCCCTAGAATCAGGCCCAGCACTGTAGATGAGCAAAGAGAGGTGTGTATCGAGATGAATCGATGCGCATGGTAATAGATAACAAACGATGTAAACAGGGGAAACAAATGGTAGCAGACATCAGAACATGAGCGCATGGACGATTAACTTGATTTCAGCTTCACTAAAGTATGCGAGTATGGAACATGTAGAAAAATAGAGGACTAGTGGTTGGTGCGACGCGTTCGGTAGCGTCACGGAAGAGAGGGTTTGTGTCGCAGTGCCCTTCAGCCTGAAAACTGCGGCTGGTTTGGGACAACTGAAATGAATAAGAGATAAGTTGTCGTCAGAAGTTCTACGTCTGCTCATCGCACAATTCATTCCCAAATTGGACAGAATACGCTTGATGCAACTTCAATGGTCGAAAGAAAGATAATTCATGGCGACAGAAGATAGACTAGATGTTGAGAGTTCACTAGTACGCTATAAACCCAGATATCATAGCAGCTTTTCTTGTGCCAATGGGCGTTTGATAGGAATCTCTCGATAACGGATGTATCGAAATACACCGGTTACTAATTTGTAAGTTCCGTTGCCAGCCGCTGTACACTTATGACTATAAGCGACGGAATTTCTTCCTAACTTACCAAAAGGTGGGAATAGTGACTCGTAAGGGCGCATTGTACTGATTTACAGAGCAGATGTCAATGGGGGGTTAATATCTCTACTGACAACTAAGGGTAACAAACTAAGGACTGAGAATGAAGCCACTGTAATGATAGTCATAGGCAACGAGACAATGCACCGCTGGGAAATCGGTTTCTTCGTTATATAGTAGGATTATGGTTTTGTGGGTGGACATTTTGCGAAAAATCGGATGTTGTCTCGACCTGGTCACAATTCCGCTACAAGTGGACGGGTGTGATCTTAGCTTCGATTTTGATGGAACTACTGGTCGCTGTTGACTCGGAGCAGAAGGTAAGCAAACTTGTCCGACCCATCGAAGGTACCGTTTCGGTTGGAGTATCTCATAGATGACGCTAAATTGCTAGCGTTAATGCCACAGCTTTCGTGTAGAAGGACGCACCCTCAGACCTCATGGCTGTCGCTCATCAGAACCACACGGAGCCAGCTGTTCTGGTAACGCAACGGCCGTGAAGCTTCTCCATTCGGGATGAGCTCATAAAGTTAACGGAGATATGATAGAGGCTGCAGACATCTTACCCCCAAGTGACATTGATAAGCATCGATCATTTCAAAGAAAAAATAGTCGAAAGTTCAGACTGAACACACAGAATCAAGCGCCAACTAATGCGACTCGCAAAGGTTCTTTCTTACTACTCCCTACAGATGAGGTTTAAGGAGCGATTAGGGTCACTAGTAGATTGAGGTCGATCAGGGGTACAGAGCAGAAGAGCAACCGTCATGTTAACCGGTCTTCGCAAACTACGGACTATGGCTCCAAGTTTGGCTAACACACCGATCACACTAGAAAGGCTGACGTGTGCTGAGTGAAATACATTGGTCCCCAGTCAGATTGATGTGACAACGTACGGTGGTGCGATATCGCAGCATGCATGCCTAACAGGCGGCCCTCGGAAAGGGTACCAAGGAGTTTAATAAATAAAGCCTCCAATTAGTCGACGTGTGCGGCATTCGTGACAACGAATGTGATGCATGTGGTCATCAAGGGGTAAACAGTTCTACATGCCTGATCTACAGGACGCCAGTAGGAAATTGAAGCTGTGAGTTTCTCGAGAGACAAATTGTCATTCTTTGGTTTATCGTTACCAATCCGGTTTAGGTTCCAAATCGGATAAAGTGTCACATGTCCGAAGAACTATTTTACCGTTTCGTCCTATCTGGTGTCGGCAGTAGGCACATCTCTAGGACTGCACTAAGCAACGAAATAATGTCATCTCGGTATCAACAGCTTATGTTGCTAGGTCACGGCAGAAGACTAGTGAGTTACAGTCCAACTACGGCACAGTGTGGCTCATCCTTTACTGCCAGGCAGGTGACAAATGTTGCTGCAGTATATCGCAATTAGCTTGTAGATCATAACGACATGTCGCCGTCAAATCGTGACCTGGTGGCATGAGCCGCTGGAGCCGTGGGTTACGCACTACTAAAAACTCCCGATAAATGAAGACGGTCGTTTAGTGCTTCCGGACGAGCAGTAGTCTGTCAGACTTAGAAACTACTGCGAAGGCCCCTCAAGCATTCGCATTGGGGATTCCCTATTCATTTCAGGTTCAGTTGGGACTGGAACCATAAGATAATCTCGTAAAGGATTCTTAGTGAGCTGGCCGCTGGACCAAGAATTGACCAGGAGCTTCGAAATCTTCATGAATCTGAAATGGAAAGCTGGAATCACACTTTTGCCAACCACGTATCGATTGAGTGATGAAAGGGAAAAGTGGAGAATCAATGGAACAGAGGAAAGAATGCTATATCAATAAGGGATAATATCTTTGTGTGGTGGAGAGTACAGAAAAAATAAAGGTTGAAGAGAGGGGGGTTCGTTAGAAGAAATGTCTGGTGTAAACGAAGAGGGCCTAGCTGACACTCAAAACCACAAATCGTCGAATCTCGATCGCATTTGGTCTTTCCGGAAAGAAAACGCACTCGCGCCGCACGCTCAGTTCCTGTAGCTAGATCTCGATCAGGAGCTTTTCCAGCTGTAGCTAAGGCCCTTTAATGAGCATTTGACTAGCTTATTTCCCCGTCTCCTATGGTTTACTTACGGTTAGCCGCCTATCAGTGTACTCGGTCTATACTGCATCGACGAGCGCGCTAAAACTGGTGAACCCGAGCGAATATATACTTGGTAAACCGATTTTCACCCATTTCCTGATAGATTTTGACATTTATCTATTATCGCTATTTGTCATTTTTAACAGCCAGTTTGTGTTTCATATATAACTCTTATCATTGAATTGGACCAGGTCGGTGTGAAGGTTTACATTAACAGTCCCTGTCCTTACCCCACCTTATTTGGATGAAAACCTTAAGGGATGGTTTGCTCAGCTTGAGTCTACCACATTATATTAACTCTGACTAGGCCGAATTTCACATCTCTGCGGCTTTTCCGGCACCTCATCGACGACATCGACATCCATGAGCAACCGGACTTATAAGGGATTTACGCGGAAGCCAAGGCTAGGGTCCCCAAGAAGATGGGCATGTCCTATTCTGAACGAGCTACTAAGTTGCCTAGTGAGAAGGAGATAAGTGATATTAAATCATCACAGCTTTTGCGAAAGATTGAGCAAAGACCGCAGCAGACGATGATTATTTTCCTGAGGGAATGTGACTCCATCGCCCTCTACGTGAAGTGTGCAAAGTGATTTGTGCCAACGATATGAATCGCGCGGCCAGAGTTCATAGGCATTATCCATGCAAACCGAGAGCGAAACAAACCTGGCATCAGTTGTTATCAACTTATCTAAGCGTTTCGGTACCCAGGAGACACCGCAGCGCATCGCTCTAATAATTGTATACGTTCTGCTTGTCCAAAGCTCCCTTGGAGGTCTTCGCCCATGCAGGCTTCTACCTATTGGTAGTACTGTGAAATATTTGGTGACAATGACTGCTTCGGCCACTATACCTTCTCATTCGCTCGTACGGTGCAAGAAAACCTTCCGGCATCACGTGGAGGCGACGGACGTAGCTCGTCACCAGAGTCACCTATTTTTCGTCACCGACCAAGAAACGGGATTTTCCTCTCTTCGATATTTGCACGGAGGTTAGCGTTCTTCTTGGCGATTCGAACGATCCGTCTGAAAGGGTGATTGGTTCACAGCACGCAGCCAACGACACCATTACTCGCATGTATGGTAAATGCTCACGTACGTTGAATTTGCGCATACGAGGCTAAGTCTAATAGATAGTCCTCGTCGCGGATGTCGAAGCACAACTTCGCTGAATTGACTTTTACGGTACTACGATTTACTTGCGAGGGAGTAGCAACGCCTGCTTCATCGATCGATTCAAGAATCTCATCGTTGCAGGGAATTTGACCGATGTCAGTCTAAACAATTCCGTTTACGTCAAACAAGCGAGTTTGCCCATCGACCAGATGCTTCTTAGCAGTATTTCACAAGTTTTCTGTGCAGTCGATCCGCTATATCCTTACGAAAGGACAGCCTATTTTCGTCAAAGCCAGACGAATGACAAGCTTAGAGTTGCCATATCCAGACTAGAGCATATTGCTCGAATTTCGAAGAGCCAAAGAGCGACACCTCTACTCATGATGCCTAAAATGTTAGGAGACTGGCGTGTATGTAGCGACTACCGTGCTCTGTATGTTATCTTCCCAAACCACTACCCGATAATTCTCAGGATTTAACAACCAACCTATGTGGTATCGAAGCGTTCTCTGAAATTGACGTGATGCACCGTCGCAACGAGACTGGACCTTGACGTGGTGTGATGGGTTGTGTGCCTAAGTGATTCATTAAGTCATGTTGGGTGAGGATTCTTGCACTCTCAGATTCATCATCATTATTACAGTAGATTAAGGTGAAAAACATCTAGGCCATTTTGCCGTAAAAATGGCAGGCATCATCAATACGCTGGTACGTAGTACCGACGCTTCGCTGCCGCGCGACTACCACTAGTCGCAAGTGGGCTAAACATACTGCGAGAGTCGCATGGTATCTTCGTAGGCTCGAACCCGCACCCTCAGATTACAAGGCAGGCTAGTGAATCTTAAGGCTAGGGGCCGGTAATTTACCGAAATACAAAAGATAAAACGATACCAAATAACATAGAATACAGAACAAAACCAAAAACAAGCAATATAATGGGTGATGCTCGCCAGAAAACACCCAATATCTATCTGTTTCATGAAACATGGTCCCTGTGATCGGTCTGACCAAAGTTTAGTTCAGTGCGATTCGCGGTCCACATTGGGACTGCGTGACGCAATTCATTCC